CGCCCGGCACCGGCCCCTGGCCCTGCCTGCCCGAACCCCCGTATCGCTGCCGGCACCGGCGCTGCGGCTCGGCGTGGCGGCAGGCGGTGCTGCCTGGCCGCTGGAGGGGGGAGCGGGGAACCGGCAGCCGGCGCGGCGGGCAGGGAGATGCGCCCCCCCCCCCCCCCGGTCCCCCAAATTACATCCTGTGGTCCTCGGCCCCCAGCACATCCTTCGGCGCTGTGGCAGCGCGGGGCACAGCCGGCGGGGCGACTGCGGTGGGTGTTTTCCAGGGAAATGGATTTCGTCAGAACTCCTCGGCTGCTCCCGCTGCCCGCTGGATGCGGACGGGGATCTCGCTGCGCTCCCTTTCCATGCAGAAGCGCCGCCGCCGCTCACTTGTCCGTGCGCTGCCGCCAGGCCCCGGCACGGACAGCGGGGATCATCCCCCTGCTTCCCGGGGGGCCGGGGGGGACCCATCAGGCACTGACCGCCACTCGGGGCGGCCCGACTCCAGCCCGCCCTCCCCTCCTCGCCGCCGGAGCTCCTTAGGCGGCACCTCGCTTTCCTTCGAGGAACGCGGGCGAAACCCGGGGACAGAGCCCGCCCGTGCCCGTGCCCGTGCCCGCCTTCGGGGTCGGAGGGAGCTCCGGAGGAAAGGGGGGCACATCCCTGGCCTCCCCACGCGCGCTCCAGGCGCGACACCCACGCGCGGCTCCTGCAGCGCCAGCGTGATCCGGGGGGCACAACCACGCGAGGACACACAGATTTATACTGATACACGTCTGTAATCCCGGGGGGAGCCACCTCCTCCCTCTCCCTCCCCCCTTCCCTCCCCGCGGAGCTGGCAGCCCCGGGGGCCCGCAGCCAGGGAATGCGATCTGCCCCCGCGATTCCAAGCGCAACCGGGTCTCCATTTTGGGTCTCCGAGCCGCGCCTGGGAAGCGGCGGGGATCCGCGGCCGTCCTCCCGCTAATGCCGAGTGACAAATCGCACTTAGGCGATACATGAACGAGAAAATGATTTATGGATTTTCACGACGGTCTGAGGCGATGAAGGCGACATGAATTATCCACCCTAATGTGCAATATATCATTTTCTAATAACACTGGGTTAGCCCTAACGCTGTGTGCTGCTCCCTTCGATAGCAGGTATCGATTTCATACACGGTCCGAGTTCTGGCTTTCCACCGGACACGCACCTCCTGCAGCACCAGCTGAGCTCTGTGTATTTACCTCTTCCTAAAGCCCAGGGCTATGGACGGACCCCTGACACTGTGGCCTTTAGTTTTTCCATCTGTCATCATTTAATTTGGCAATTTCTTCACCGAACGAAGACTAATCTTTCGCATCGCTGCATTTCACTCCGTGCTGTGATTTGGAGATGGAAATAGATGATGCCAGGTCTGTAAATCCCTCGTGCTGATGGGGATGGCACCTGGGTAAGTCAAACCTTTTCCCTCTGCCAAAATCCTCCTTGGCACCCCAAGTACCACGGGGCATTTTCTAGCAAGGAAGACAGATGCTAAATCACACTCCTGCTCACCCAGAACTTTCCTGGCACCTTGATTTACCAAATCTCACAGATTATCTTAAAGATGAAAAACTTTGCATTTAATTCATACATGCTGGCAGAGTGAATCATTGACACAAAAAAACCTGAGTGCATGTGCATAAGAGGGGGAAGAGCTGCCGGATCTGGAGGGGGCTCAGCCCTAGATCCAGCCTGTGTTAGTGCCCCAAGGCCAGGGCATCCCCTCTCCCCCAACCAAGTTCTTTTGCCCTTCATCACAGAGTAGCGATGAAGTCATAGTGACATAAGCTATGAACATTCCCAATTATTTCAACGGTTCCAAGTCTAAAATATCACTTTGACATTAAGAAGGACGAAGAAGTCCTGGCCTTACATGAAACAGTATGAAACAGATATAGGAAGGATGGAGGTAAATGATTAATGCATTAATCTGGGGGGGTTAAATAAGTGATTATTGGGGAAGAGGTGAGGAAATGCTTAATTTCTCATTAGCCAAGTGTAGTATTTCCATTGTTCAGACACAAAAGAAGCAACAAAAGTAAGGAAACACACAAATGCTGTGTTCTGGAATAAACAATCACTATCCTAACCTGGAAAATCATATTTTAGGGTGTAGAAAGCTAATCCCCATTGTTTAAATAATCTAGTTCCATTTTAGGTATCAGTCTTGGTTTTAGGCTGAGGAACACTGTGGCTCTTTTAACTGTCTGGATGTTAAAAACACACCGAGAAATGGAATCCCTGCCCCAGCCTCCTAGATTGTCATTACTTGGTTTAATATTAATTATCTAGGTTTAAAAAAAAACAGTAAAAAAAAACCAGCCCGGTTCTCCCTCAAGAAAATAACAGTTCACGGTGCAGGAAGGATTACTGGAATCAATGATGGAAGTAGGATTGTAAATAAGAAGTAAAAGATAACACAGTTAGAAAAAGCCTGCATGGCTAACAGAAAGATGTATATGTCCTACCGATGGGGCCATAGGATGAAATCCTACTTCAAAGAGAAGTCGATACAGAACAATTTCACAAATCAACTCAGAGGCCCGATTAAGGTTATTTGTATCAGAGGGAAAGGTTCACTGCCACCACTCCCTCCATGGATTTCTCTCTTAATCGCCAATGAGGAGACAAAACAGGAAGCCTAGACAATTTGGTTAATCAATAAAAAAAACCTGCCTTCATGTTTGCCTGAGGAGCACTCTGTGGGTCAGATCGATGTAGAAGCCACCAAAGTTCTTGCAGAGCTCACCAGTGATTAGGACATTTTCTGAAGGCTTTTAAACAGCACTGGAGCCAAGCATCTGCCACGGGGTTGCAGATGTAAGCAGAACTGGAGATACAATGTTAATCATCATCCTCACGCTTACGGGAGTTCTCCTGGTGGTAAAAACAACTCATCGTATTTATGACCTTAGACAGCTGTTTTAATAAGCCACAATAAAGTATGACTTTATTACATGCTCTGTACTCCTTTACTGATCAGATATGATGGAGCCTCTCCAGAAGGTGCCGGGAGTCTTTCTGAGTAAGAGTTGCAGTGGATGCACTACAGTCCAGAACAGAATTACAGTGGATGCATGCTATAGGAATTTCTTAAGGACAGTCTGCTACCTCCTTTTCCTTGCCCCCAAGCATTCTGTAGAGGTTTCAGGGTGACTACTCAAGCAGCAAGAGGCTGTTCAGTGTGAAACAGTAGATTGGTACAGTCTACTGCTGTTATTCCACCTTCTCTAGCTTCAGAGTCTATCATAATGTTTATCACAAAATAAAAGAAATAAAAATCCTAGCCTGTTTAATTGACTTGTGGTTTTAGCTGATTGAAGTCTGCATTGAAATAAATACAAGAAAACTATTTTTCCACGGTTAAGCTCTGAACATTTTCTAGTAGTCAGGCCTTTTACTATGTCCAGATCAGAGCAGCCAAGGTCCTGGTCACTTCAAAACACTTGTTTCTGTATGCATGGCTTTACCTTAACCAACATTGGGCCTGATTCCTGTAAGCTTGTCTCATGTCCCATTATTATTTCATGTATTAATTAGTGACAAATCTGACAATCTTTAACTTCATGGTTATTGTCATGCTGCAGATACATTATGAACCAATGAAAATTACTTTATACAATGTGATCAGTCAAAAATACATATTCCTTTTATCTCTTTACTTGCAGACAAGAGGTGGCATCTGTATCTAACTTACATCAGAGAAGATATTTCTTAACAAAAGACTTTTCAATAAGGCAAATTACTTATCATCCAGGTAGAATTTTCAGAAAGGTAGTTTACTTCATCGATAGAAACCTGGTATTGAATCAGATGAAAAGCAAAATACAATCACATTGATCTGGACAAGCATCATCAAGCTACTGTATTCTCTCTCTCTTTTTTTTTTTTTTTTATGATATGGCTCAATCAGCTGCACCAATTTCTTTGAACTTCATCGAAATACAGTTGACCTGTATCTGAATGCAACAAACGCTGCTAAACTTGAATGATTACAAGAGCAAACGAGGACAAAACTACAGTGGAAAACTCCAGTTGCTTGAGACTATTATTATACACTCAAAGCCATAGGTAGATGTAGATGCTCATGATAAAGAAAATTGCACTGTTGATTTTCTTTTCAACAGCAAGTTCAAGCCTTGAACTAAAGCTCAGTTTGTTTTGAGATTCAGCTTGAAAGCAGTAGTTCAAACATAAAACTTCTATTCTTCGACTTATATTACTGTATGTCTAGTGCTTGGCAGAATAAATACACCCACCCACCCCCACCCCCCAAACTAGATTGTTTACTCAGAAGAATTTGCATTCTTGGGCCTCAGTGTTCCATGTATATATAATTTCCAGCATAATTCTATCATCTGAGTCATCATGCGAACTACACAACAGATAACAATTAGGAAGGAAAAGGAGAAAGATGGCAAAAACGATGTTTTAATTATATAGTCACTTAGGAAGAGTACACACAGCTGTGATTTTATACCTGTTCTAGGTGGAGCTACTTTCACTACCAATAGTTAAGACTGTATTTTTCTTTTTGAGTCTTCCCGTGCTAAGACCCTATATTCAGGTTTTTTCTCCTAAA